CGAACCAAATAAGAAATTTTGTTCGGTTTTTTTTTTTTTTTGGAGTGGTTCGATTTCGGCTTAAAAAAAAAACGGTTTTCGGTTCGAGAAAATGAAAAACCGAACCAAACCGAATTAGAGGCCTGATAACTTGTTATTTGGTATGATTTTAGGGTACTTTTGAACTTTGTTTTCGTGATTATTCGACATCAAAGTTCATTATTTATCCTATTTTTATACAAATTTTGTACCATCCATGCTTCACGAGTTGTTTGTGTTTTTGATGTAATGTAGCTATTTTTAACACTATGTATGGACATGATCAAGCATGAGTGAACAAGGAGAAGGGAAAGCTTGGTTAATAGAGCAATGGAGGAAGAAGGATGAGTGCCTTAAAGAGAAATGAAAAGCTTTTGGAAAGCCTTGAAGGGTTGTTTGCACAAGGGTCAACTTAAACTTACCATAACTTTTTTTCCACTCAACATTTTGAAGTGATTCAAATTGGATATTAAAGTTCATCTCAAGAGCTTTCCAACGACTGGTCACATGCCTTATTCCGATGAGTAACGAAGAATTTATGACCTTCCAAAATAAGACGTTTCGCTAGAAAAGGGTTGCACGTCCGTGCCAATAAGTGGCACGTCCGTGCAAGTCCCTGCACGTCCGTGCCAAATGAAGCACGTCCGTGCCAAATGAAGCACGTCCGTGCAAGGCCAAACGGTAGCTACTGCTCGTATTTTAACAGGTCTGCACGTCCGTGCAACCTTTGGCATGTCCGTGCCGACCTGTAGATGGGTCGTTTCTTCGTGTTCTCCGCCCTTTTACTTGGGGGTTATATAATACCCCTTTGACTTCATTTGTAAAGGGGGGATCTTCTTAGTATAATTTTTATCTTAGGTTAGGATTTTTAGAGAGAGAAACTCTCATTTTCTAGAGAGAGAAAGTAAGAAAAACTTGTTGAAAGCTTGGAATATGAAGAATTGAAGGAAGGAGACTTGAAGATTTAATTATTTCTTGCATTATCAATGAGAATTTCTTACCCTCTCTCTTATTTTATTGCTTTAATTACTTATTTTTGTATCTTTTCTAGTTTTATTACTTGTTTATGTTAAATTAGTGTTTGGATTCATATTCTTAGTAGTTAACTACTTTAGTTTTGCAATTTATAATGACTTATGAGTAGTTGTTTTACTTGGGATGGTTGAAACTATTGATAAATTCACAAATACTTGTTTGCATGTGTTGATTTAGCTAATGTGGGATGTTAATTAGTTGAGCTTAAGTGGTTTCATTGTTAGTTCTTGTAAGTGGCCATTACTAGAACTATTTATCTAAGCTTTCTCAACGAAGGATCAAGAGATGAACTTGAGTTATCTCCCTTATGCTTAATTGACTTGAAATGCCATGAGAATAGGAATTTTCAGCCAAGAGAATGTTTATGTCATCATGATTATGATTTAACACTTGTTTTATGCTTTGTAACCACGAGAGTAGGTTGTATTCATAACTCAAGTAATCCCTCTAGCTTGAGAGAATAGTTGGGTGCCTTAGATGACTTCCCCTAATTTATCCCCAAATTGCTATGTATTGTATGTTAAATTGTAGTTTGTGAATGACTTAATTGGTGAATACCTTCCCAAATTCCTTTTTATTATAGTTTTTAGTTTTTTTCTCTATAACTCTAAACCCAAAAAGACTTGACTTAGCTTATCACAAATCGATATTTGTTAGTGCTCCCCTTACTCCTAGTGGGATCGACCCTTACTTGCCTTTTTCTACCTATTAGAGAGACTAAGTTAGGTTTTTATCTTTGGTAGGCTCGACGACGGCCTATCAAGGCCCAGCCCCAAATAACCCCTGGCCTAACACTGAATTACCCTAGGTATATAATGCAAAAAAAAGAAAAAAAAAACCTAATTACTTCAGCCTCTCTCTCCAATAGTCCACCGGCAACTTTCTCTACTCTCTCTCCTCCTACTCTTGTTAAGGAATGCTTTTAAGTTTTAATCTTTGCAATTTGCAATTTTGCTTGCGATTATACTTGTGAACTGCGATTTTGCTTGAGAAGTTGTGATTAATCTGATTATCCATGAATGATTGAATGCAATTATTTTTGAGTTATTCGATTTTGATAAACAAGTTAGGGTTGTCTTTGCTTCATCAATTATTTTTTCGTTTGAGCAATTATTTGCCACTTGATTGAGATTTGAGACTATACAATTGCTACTGCCTAATTTCTCTGGTAGTGCTGTACAATTGAGACTATTTTAACACTGGGCAACTTTCTTTGCAGATTTAATGAGGCCCAAAAAAACCGGTTTGGTTCGGTTTTTTTTATTATGAAATCGAAATAAATATGGTTTGGTTTGGTTTGGTTTCTAAAGTAAAGTGGTGCGGTGTGGTTTCTAAAATCCAGAAACCGAATTAAAGTGGTTAGTTTGGTTTCGGTTTGGGCGAAAAACCAAACCGAAAACCGAACTTTCACCCCTAATCGTACTCCCTCCATTTTTAAATAAATACACTAAAACGTTTTGACCTTTTTGTATTTTATACATAATTTACTTTGATTAATGTTTGTAACTTATACGTAAGAATAACTATAATCTTGTGGTTATTGTTGAAATCAGTCAAAATAAGGGAGTATTATCGCAACAATAGGTAATCTGTATTGCACACGCGTTTGAAAATTATAGGTGAAAACCAAAAAAAAGTATATATTTGCAACTTTTGAATTTTCAATAATGGTACCTTTGAAACTTCAATCGCACTATTATGTCCTATAGCCACTCTCATTCTATTCCATACCACTCAATTTGATTGGTCCATGTCAATTTAACTAATAAGATTTCTTGATTAATTAACGTTAAATTGCAAATAACAATAAACATAATGAGAAAATACAAGTTTATAACCTTAATAAACAAAAATTGTATATACAATGGCGTTTGAGCCAATTAATATCTTGTATTAACAAATTTTGTTAGCATCAACAATTTAAAAATATACTGTATTTCTCATTTTATTCCTCTAAGCACAAGCACGGTAGCACACCACCATCATCACACTTGCTTCTTCTTCCTCCATGAATACCAGGCCACCAACAACTCCCTTCCTCCATGAACACCACCAACAACTCCCTTCTTCCATGAACACCAACACAACATCACCTTCGCCGCCAAATTTAAAGAAAGTCCTAAAAAATACGTAAATTAAGTGAATGGTCAACCCAAACGACAGGGTTTTTTCAATGGTACTTATGCTTTAATAATGGAGCTTTGTGGGGTTCAATATGATAAAAATCGAGCTTGAATATAACTTCATGGGGTTCGATTTTTGACGAAATTACTCAAAACACAGTTGAAGAATGTAAGATTGCATCCTTTTCGATGGTTCATGGTGAATTCGTGATAAAGGGTGGTGGTTGTAACGGTAGATACACAGACGATCACCCTCGATTGTTCAAGGTTGAAGATCTAATGTTGGTGAATTTGCAACATTATCCCTGAACAACTCACAAAAATGGCATTTATACCATGTGATAAACAATTTTTGTAATATAGGATGTCTCTCCCATCGTATAGCTAATCAGTGTCAGACTACTTTAAATAGCTTTTCTAATTCTGTTGTTTTTTATGTGTTTTAGTTTAGTTGTTGCTTTCCTTTTTCTTTCTTTGTGCTGTTGTAAAAAAAAAAAAAAAACTAGTATTTTTTTTAAATAAGTTTAATTCAACCTCGCAATTTTTTTTAGGAAAAATGGAAATTAAAAATTCAGTCTCAGCACTTTCTTCTTTGAAAAAATCCAACTTTCATTTAATCCCAAAAGAATCCAACCTTTATACCCCATCTTCATCTATTTATTGTTTTTTTATTTATTTGTGTTTCACCCAATTCACTCTTTAGGCTAATCCGGAAAAGAAGACAAAGGAGTTAGGATTCGAGTGAGAAAGAAAGAGAGGGAAAAGGGAGGGAATGTATTTTGTGGTGCCCACTTGACGTCATAGACCCAACTAGGTGGGAACTTTTGGTATTTTAAAAAATAGTTAGTGGTAAATTTCAAAAAAAAAAAAAAATGTAGGTAGTAACTGTTTAAACAACAACAATAGTAGGTGGTTAGTGTTAAAATTTTCTAAAGCAAATTTTTGGTGTTTTGAACTCAATATTAATTTCAATTATGAGATAAAAGGGCCTATTTTTGGGGCTTGGATTTGGTTGCCTCGCTCCTGACTAAGGAGTGTCTTAAATAGTGGTTCTTAATCTCCCCCCTTATGCCACCCTTTATACTTGTATAACCAAAGAAATGCATTAGCTCTTACAGTCTTACTAAAAGTTACTTTAGCAGGTTTTGTATAGATTTTCAATATTTAAATATATACATCACTTGCAAAATGCAGCAATAGTAATATTAATTTATGTCGGTTTTTATACAGTCACCATAACCCTTATTTACAAGAGTTGTATCTTATTTCGGAAACACAATTGCAAATTCCAAACTAAAAACTCTCATTTCTTACCTTTTTAAGTTTGTTATCTCTTTAAGAACTATCTAAGAAACCCCCATTATTGATGCTCTAAGGATTCAAGCCATATTAGCCTGAGAAATCCTAAAAAAATTATGAGGAAAGTAGATAATAATGTTAGTATAAAGTGACCTCGGAGTAAAAAGAAGATAGGGTGGAGGCACTGAGGCAGGAGGGAAATAAAGATAAAATTTGGTCAAACATAACATATACTCCCTCTGTCTCTAATTATTTCAGTTTTTTAAGTTTTGATTCATTGAAATTGATGAGAGAGAAAAGTAGTGGGACCTAAAACAATTTGTGCAAATAAAGTAGTGGTCCATATATGCATTAATTGTATGAAGCAATTTTTAAGTAATGACATAAAAAGAAAATTAGGACAAACAAAAAGGAACAGAGGAAGTATCATTACCCATAAAATTATTTTCTTTTCATTCTATCTCAAAGAATTCTTTCAAAAAAAAAAAAAAAAAAAAAAAAAAAAAAAAAAAAGTATAAAAAATCTACAATAAAAAAGACCAACCTAAATGGAAAATGAAAATCTCCTTGCCACAAATTTAAAACAAAACCTTGGCTCAAAAAATAACCCTAGTTTTTCAAAAATGTTATCCCTAAAACAATCTTGCAGTAGAATTTATCAAGAACAACCCCTTATTTATATACCCCAGTACCCCACTGTTGTTGCATCTCAAACACTTCCCCCTCAAAATCTCACACTAATTTCATTTGGGCGGGAGAAGAATAAAACTCTTTCATCTTCCTCTTCCAAATTCCGCCATCTTTCTCTCTCTTCAACCTTCACTTTCTCTCTCCTACAACAATGGCGGACAACAACAACAACAACCATGGCGGTAACCCGGAGTCGGGGGAATCTGAAGAAGATTCTTCATCACCGCTAAGTAAGCTTCGTCGTCGTTGGGAGCTCGCGTCTGTCCTTAATTTTTTCAGCGTAAGATCTCGCTTTCTTTGCGTTTTTAGTTTTGATTGATTTTTTGTTTTTTGATTTTGATTTTTTTTTTTTTGGAATGGAAGGTTTTTGAGCCGTTGATTGGTAAGGAATCGAAAATGTCAGCGGAAGAGATTGAAGATGCTTTGATTAATCCGAATTCTTCACTTACTAAGCTTCATATCGCGCTTCTTAAGGTATAAGTTTTGTTTCTGCTTCTTAAATCTCTTACATTTAGCTGAAAATTTAAGCAATTTCTGAAAGTATTTTGTCTGATTTTTTTGGGTTTTTTTAGGGTCTACTTGGGTAGTTTATGTTTGCTGCGTGCGCGTTTGTGTGTGTGTGTGTGACTGTGTGAGTGCCGGCGGGGTGGGTGTGCCGCGTTGATTTTACTTGGAGTAATTGTTATATGAACGTCTGTTTGTTGAAATTTAATGGTAGATTCTGAATGTCTATGAAAGAATTTTTAGATAAGAATGATCAGAATGTATGCCAGTGCTTTAATCAATGTCATTCTGTCCTGTTCTTGGTCTGTGAATCTTCGGTTTCGCATTTCTTTGTAAAACTATTATATTTGTTTTGTCTTTGATGGAAGTTAAAATATGAATATAGATGTTTGAAAAATTACATTGTTACTTGGTAGATGATCAAGTGAAGGGTTTTTTAGTAGTTGTAATTACTTGTATATGCTTATTTAGACATTGATGATGCACCTTTTGTGCAGCTTTGTACGTGACATGTACTATTGTGATAGCAAATACAGTTTAATTATTCTAGATGTCCTTTCTTAGGGCCCTTTATGAATAAGGTTCCCGGTAAGAGAAAGAAAAAGGGAATATGCAGTATATGTTACTATGTGAAGTAGAGTTTGTGTAATATTCCAAAGTTAAACAGCAGCTAAAGCTCAGAATTTCCGCGACAGTTATGTGTTTTGTAGAGTAAAATAACATAGCTTATGGTTATTGCATGTGAAAATAAAACTGTTTTTGTCCAAATGGTTTTGAAATGTAATATCTGATCCGAATTTATAATGCACTTTCAGTTTTATTGAAAGGAATGTGGCTGCTTATCATCCCCCACTCTGTGCATTTGGGTTGATCAACTTGAATTATTTTGTAGCTAAAGTTTAATGGTTAATGTAGAATATATTGCTCATTTGTAGCTAAAGTGATTTTGTTAATTTAGTATATATATATATAAGGTTCAATACTTTGTTTAACTATGTAGGGTACCAAGCAACTGTATAACTGATCAAGAACTTTGCTTTTTGTAATTTGATAAGACTGGCCGTGATCTTGAAGTGTCATGTACAGTACCCATATTAAAAAAATTGATGTGCAATTGATTCTCCAAACAATTGTCATGATTTTAGTTCATAACATTTCTGTAAAATTTTACAGGGGATACGACCTGTTAACAAAAAGTTGTCTGAACCTGATTACTGGGTGAAAAGTCTTTGTTTAAAGCTAGCTGAATGGTGGCCCTGGGTAGGTTTTCATAAGCCTGCACAGCTTTACTTTTGTTTTGACGTGGTTGATGAACTTAATTAAATCTTCTTTGTCTTTCTGGTTCCCTTGGGTAGGTTGCTGAAGGCAAAGTTCCTCTGGTTCCAGCAAAAGGGTATCATTGTTTGTTTCTTCACTTTGACTCTTACATTGATCAATTTATTTTGAGAAAATTTGGCTGCTAAGGTGCTAGATTTTATTGTGCAGAGAAGAAGTATCCAGATACAAGGAGCTTGATCCAACTATACGATTGCTGATGTTAAAGGCATTGTGTGAAATCCGAGCATTGGTAATTGTTTTTACCTTCCGATTTATTTGAAATTTTTATTGTGTGTGATATGCCATGATTAAAACATAGTTGCTCAATTAATTATTGCAGTGCTAGTTGATCTCCATTTTTCTTTCTGTGTTTTTTCGGTATCAATGAGTCTGTCTTTTAACTTAAATTTTGTTCAGAGTAATGAATGAATTTTGTTGCTTGTTGAATATGTCTCAGAGTCTCAGACTAAGACTTTTTTTTATGTATTGAAGCCACTAAATTTTGGTGTTTACTTTGCTTATAGCAAGATGATCTGGTTTCTAATATCAATGATGCACTCAAGGAAGGGGCTCAAATATCTCAATTTCGTAAAGATAAGATTGGTCAAGATAGAAATGGGGTTTCTTACTGGTAATTAATTTTCTGTCTGTTAACAGTAAAACAATTCTAAGCAGTATGTTGAGTTTGATAATTCTATTTTTGTTTTTTTTTGCTCATAGGTATGATGGGGATCCAGTTATTGGTCATAGACTGTACATGGAAATTGACAATGGCATGTTGAAGCAGAAGCATAGGGGCAAAAACTGTCTAGATCTGAAAGAAACCAACTCAGAGTGGGAGATTCTTGCTACCAATCTTGATGAATTTCGTAAAGTCTCTGTGCGTATGATTGGAAGCTAATGATTGTGCTTGTCTTTACAATAAGTCATGTCAGCTGCACTCTGAACGATAATGGACTTTTATCTTCCTAATTTTGCAGGAGAGATTTTCTTCTTGCCAAGTTGGAGTTGAGGCAGCAGTGCATGAGACTATTGAAACAGAAGTTATTCCTGTACTTGAAAAATTGCAGAAGGTAAGGAAGTTGCTTTCGCATTCCATATCTTTTTTATTCAACTAGTGATCAGAACTTTTTCTTAGCTTGCAGATGTTAACATATTTATTGTTTCATTTGTAGAAAAAAGAGAGGGATCTGAAGCGACGTCAGAGAGAGGAAGCTTATATGAGTGGTTGTCACTCCTATGCTGCTGGAGTTACCCGTTCTTGTCGCTCACGCAGACCTGTGAAGTATACATTTGGTATGCTGTGAAAACTCCTCTGCTGGAACTGTCATTAAGATGTGAATGTTATGCTGACAACTGATATAATGTCATGGTTAATGTAATAGATCTTGCCATTCCGTCATCATTATAGGTCTGAGTATGGAAATCAATAAATTTCCTTTCTGTCAATCTCTCTTCATATTTGCCCTTTGTTTGGTTAATGGAAGTTGGCAAAGTAGTAAAGTACTATTACAGTCAAGACATTCTCTCATTGCTGTCATTATTCTCATCTCTGCTTCCTATTCATTGTCTTAAAGTGTTAGGTTTCACTGCTTAGAAATTTGGGATGGTGCTTAAGAAGTTATGCTACTTCATTCAATCTTAAGCAAATACATGTATTTTGTAATTGACCAAACAGCTCCTCCACTTCTTTTACTTTCCTTTAATCAAACGTTTAATGTCCATTTCAATATTTTCTCTGATTTACATTAAGGTCAATAATTTATGAAGAGAAAGCCAAAGCTGCATGTCCTGAGAGATTGTAACCATAAAATAGTGTCCAGTTCATAGCATCATTTTTTCAGGGTATTTTCTAGTGTTGTGATGAATAGTCTTTTACGTAAATTAGTAAAGTCTATCCTGTAGACTGCTCTCTCTCTCTCTCTCCCTTTTTTTTATAAAGATTATATGTAATAGATGTATTAGGTGAATGTAATTTTGTTTGTCTACTTGAAGATTGCCATTTCAAAAGTGCTAGATTTCTTACTGATTGTCTTTATAATTTTGAGTACTTCCTTTGTTACTGCTGGTGCTCTGTTCCTGCTAGTCTGACTCCATATGTGTGTTTGTTAAGTCAACCTTTGTCTTGTGGCTGTAATTTTTTTTTTATTTTTTTTTTGTTTTTTTTTTTTGTGTGTGTGTGTGTGTGTGTGTGTCAAATCAAGATGTATTAATATGTTTCTTGTGTTGATTTGTATGCAGATGATTTCGACCGGACAATTGAAGAGGCTATAAAAGAGACAAGGTAGGCTTTTTTGTTTGTTTGTTATTTTGATCAACAAAAATTAAAAATATCAGGTGGATGCTTGGTAAGTTATTCTGGTTGTCCTTTGGTATGCTGAAGGCTCTCTTGATGTGGGCAATTGAGCATTGTGATAATTCCTTTAGCATCAGTATGTAATTCTGGTCTCGTCTTAAATAGAGGAAAAGAAAAATTGCATAGACAAAAGGATGTATATTCACCTGAGCTGTGCTACATTCCTTTGCATGCATGTTTGGGTTTGTCTATTTCATTTGCATTTTCAATTAATTTTTGATGCTTTACAATTTGTTTATTGATTAGTGCTACATTTCTTTATATCTTTTGTTTAAATGTTATTTTTTGATAATAATGAATGAGTGAAACACACCTCTTTAAATTGATTCATCTAGTAATGGGAAGGGTAGTGGTGGCTACTAGTATATGTACTGGTGCTGCCTCTTTTGGCTATTGCTTTTTCTTTGTAATCATTATCTTTGTGTAAAAACTACTGATTTTCAACTTTATTATTACTAGTATTAATTAATAATTATAATTGACATTTGCATGGCTATGTTTTGAGTATTAATGAACATTATAACATACAAGTGTTAGGCAATCCTGTCACTTATCACCTGGGGTCTTGGGTATTATTTTTGTCCTACTTAATCTTTCCCCATGAAGTTTTTGTATATGAATACATGTTAGTATGTAATGATTTTCCTTTGGTGATTTGGTCTTTTAATTAATGTGATCAGCTGGCTGCACTCTCTGCCTAGTGCTTATTCTCTATATTTTCTGTTTAGGAAAGGGAAAGTTAGAAAGGTGGAAAGGAATGACACCAAGCATCCCAAACATGGGAAAAGTGGTGATGATTCTGGTGGAGATTTGCAGAATAATGCTCATGACGGATCTCCAGCTTCCACTTCCAAGGACAAGCAAAATGACCAACAGGATGAAGGGGATTCCAATGGTGAGGAAATTGACCAATTGAGTAAAGGTAGTGACATTGATGAGGAAGATGACCAACAGGGTGAAGGCAGTGAAAATGATGAGGACTATAACGAACAAGGTGAAGGCAGTGAAAATGATGATGAGGATAACCAACAGGGTGAAGGCAGTGAAAATGACGAGGAGGATGACCTTCAGAGTGAAGGCAGTGACAAGGGCAAGGATATAAATCGTACTGACATTGCTGGCAAAAGTGATAATGAGGTAGTTAATGATAGTGAAAGTGATTCAAGTGATTTTGAGCATGAAAATGTCAAGCAGGATGGAGCAAAGCATGATAAAGTTCTTTCGCAAGGACAGAAAGACAATGTTGCTACTGGCTTGAAGATGAAAAAGAATTCAGATCGTACTTCTCGTCAGAATCTTCATGAAGGCAGGAATCCAGAAGCTAAGAATCGATATAGGCAGAGGCCTACACTAAACAGTGCCTTAAGTTCTTTTGTTGTCCCTGATTCAGAAGATGAAAGCTCTCCTGAGAATTCGAGTGGAGATGCATCAAGTGAGGAAGATCCATCTGAGGTTGCTGATTCTGAGGATGAAATTAGCAGCTGAAAACTATGCTGATACACAGAAATAGCTCATTTCTCTGGGTTTTGTATTGAAGAGAAATGTAGATTAAATATGCTTGTAGAGTTGGCATAGGTAAGTTTTTGGCCTTTTGTTAATATATCTAATCTCTAGAAACTGTCTGTATCCACCAGTGTGGCCTCTGACTGGCGCGACCATAAGTGGATTCTGGAGCATGTTCAGCTACTCTAAAATGCTACTGGCTTAAGTAACGTGCTAAGTCGATACATGGCTTCATTTTGGTACTCATGGTGGTGTGTATATATCAAGTCCATGTATTCATATTGAACTTTTGAGAAGTACACTTTTGATGTAACTGTAGAAAAGCAACTGGTTAGGATATCTTATATAAGAAGTTCATTATCTTACTGAATTGCAAGTATTTAATCTACTCGAATAATAGAATATGTTTCAATTATCAATAGTCAAGTCATATCACGGAAATATGATCACATTTTCCTTCAATTGGACATCTTAGACCTTGTTTAGTTCACCTTATTTTTACTTATTTCAGAAAAAATAAGTTTAGATTTGAAAAAATAAATTCAGATCAGATCATCATTTTATATGTAGTTTTTTATCGCTTAATATTTTTAATTTCGTAATGAAAAAAATTCTGAAAATCACATATTAATAAAATGCATATTATTACGAATCTAACAAGACCTCACTTGATATATTTTTTCGGTATAGATTATTGTATATTTAAGGTCAAAGTTTGGTCAGATTAGACAAGATCTGGTCAAATAAGATACGTTTAGATAAGCAAATATAAGGCGAACTTAATAGGGCCTTATTATCGAATGAATCGTTCAAGTTTAGATAGTTATCTTTAAATTGCATCGTAGGGTATGAATTCTTTCTAAGGTGTGTAAAGAGATAAGAGATCGGATTTATGTGTCGAGGAGAGCTATAATGAAAATTATTGGTAAAATAAGATTATGTTGCAATAATTTTGTTACTTCCTACAAAGGAATGCTTATGCAATTAAAGAACGTAGAAAGAATTAATTTTGTTTAAAATAGAATTGACCACGATAAAATTTATGTAAAAATGAGCTACTTTAATTTACCAAGTCTTATGAACAAAGTCAGGATTTATCTTACCATACTCTGTAATAAATTGATGAATTTATTTTCTTTGTGCATTTGGTGAAATAAAAGATTTTACTTGATCGTAGAGTGGTAAATCCATAGTTCACTAGTGTTCAATAGTTCTTTAGTTTTTTTATAGTTGACATTAAGGCAATACTAGATTTATTATGCATGCTTTACTTGAAAGTGTAACATAATTTATTTTAAGCAAAACAGGTGCAAAATAAGTCAATAAGAGCACTAGCATTCAAGAGGATATCTATCCTTTTAGCTCTCCTTTTATGTACTTTTTAGCTTCCTCTTGAATGCTAGATTTGCTAAAATGATCATCTCTTGATTAAGAAACTAGCATTTACTTTATGTGGAAAGAAAACAATGCCTCGACCCACGTGCCAAAGCAAACAAAAGAGAAAGAAAAAAAAAAAGTAACCGTTGGGAGCAAAATGCCAAACCAACGTTATAGAAGAACGGTCATATGCATGTCATATTTGAATTTGATGATTAAATTATGTTAGGTATTGCGAAAATTGATTGTATACAAGTATGAAGATATATAATCTAAAATCATTTACTAGCTTTACCGAATCAAATTTTTGTACTAGCATAAACACAAGAACAAAGATTAGCATGTAAACTATCAACACAATTTAGGCACATAACAGGTTGGACAGGAGACTAAGCTCGAAGGCTCACCTCTATTTCACTTGCTTGAGAACCTCTAAATATATATCCAAGCCCTTACACATTACAAAGGCACGCAAATCTTTAGCACAATCCATTTGCGTATTCACTAATCTTATCTTATCATAAGTTTATAACCGACTTTATCATTGGAGCGAGTTTACTAGAACCTCCTCGAGGGCAGTTGACATCTTTGATTGTGTATGTTTCATTCTGACACTAGTCGACTGATATTGGCCCTAAACACGTCTTGTAATCCCATACCGAAACATTATTACACTATTTCACTTTGCTAGTCTAAGACCCTGTTCTGATTAACTAAACTGAATATTTTATGAGAGAAAAAAAATTAAGAACTGAACTGAACTTATTGGAGCTGAACTGAACTGAACTGAAAATAAGCTAAAGAGAACAAGCCCTAAGCCTAATCGAATGATTTATATTATGATGATAATATGTAGATAAAAACCTTTTCTATTATCATTATTATTATTATTTTCTATTTTAATTTTTATAAAGCTCAATAATTTTCAATACTTCGGGTCTATTCAATTCAGTTCAGCTCTAATCAGTTCAATTCCTAATTTCCTTCTCTCATAAACAATTTATTTCAGTTCAACTCCAATCAGTTCAGTTTAGCTCACTTCAATTCAATTGTTTTTAGTAAATCGGAACAGACCCTTCATATATCATTTCAAAAGATATCACTCCCCTCTTCTCACATTATAGTTATAGTTTTACTATTTTGGAGACCTAAAATATTTTTAATGTTTCTATATTTGGATAATTTGTAAATACCATTATACTTTCAATTTTTTTTAACTTACTGAACTTTCTAAATCACCCTTAAATTTTCCATTTGTCTTGTACCTTTTTCCACGGTCTCTTTTTAACTTTTGTTTATAATTGTACTTTTACCTTTTTTTTTTTTTTAATTTACTTCATGCATTTTTTTTTTCAATTAATTAAATATCATGAAAAAACACAAATAGAAACTACCGAGTATAAATTAGGACGGTGGGAGTATTTGCTCAATGAATCATTCAATAAAGTTTATAGTCGTAATACATTACTGTAGTACCTTCTTTAGAATTATCTTATACGTATATCTGAAATATTCAACAAAGTCAGGATGGCCGAGTGGTCTAAGGCGCCAGACTCAAGTTCTGGTCTTCGAAAGAGGGCGTGGGTTCAAATCCCACTTCTGACATTTTGTGTAATTTTTTGTCCTTCTTCCTTCATTTTTTAGGGAATCTAATGTACTTGTAAACAACAGCAAATTATTTATTTTCTTGCTTCATTTTTTTAGGGAGTTAATGTGCTTGTGCACAACAACTTCTATTTATTTACTCCGTATTATGCAATTACAGTATTTTTCAAAGCTTACGGATTACACAATTATTCAATTACTATACAAATTAGTTTTTACTTCGTATGATACTTGTATTACGGATTACTTGATATCCCTGATTAATAAGTACCTGCAAATCTTTACAATAGAACATAGTAAACAAAAGTGTGTAATAACTTGTTGAATAATTTAGAGAATTGGAGACAAATTTCAAGTAAATAATTAAATTACTTAGGTTATGGTGTTGTAATTTAATTAGGAAAGATTATTAAAGCATTATATAGAAAGAATATTAAGAACTCACGAAAATGAGTAAGTGAAGCTGCTGCCCTTGATGTTCGCCCGGTCAGCCGCCCGATCGTGGTGGTGCTCGCCCGATCGGGCGCGAGGGTGATTTGGAAAACATATTCTTCTTCGCCCGATCGGGCGCGTGAAGGGAACAAAATTGACGGAAAATATTTTCTGGAATTTGGGGGAGCCGCCCGATCGGGCCACCACCGCCCGATCGGGCGCGAGAAGACACTTGACGATGAATTCCGCCCGATCGGGCGGCAGCGAGCCCGATCGGGCGCGTGTCAGAGAGAAGGATGAGACTGACGGTTTTGTCAGTTTTGCTTCAAGTTTCGTCAGTTATTTTGTGTCTCTTGGCTGAAGTTTGCTTTAATATATATATGTTTTAAAATATATGTTGAAAGATATATACTTGAGAAAAATCAGAAGTTTATTTTTCTTGAAAAACCTCTTTGCAATTTATTATCATCATCATAAATCCAAAGGCTTATATACATTGAATTGTAATCATCCTACTTGTGATTGCAATTGTTTCTTCGTTGTATCTCCTAAGTAATTTTCCGTGAAACCCGGTTGTAGTATAGGGTCGGAATTATACTTTTGAGAAAGTGATTCCGTTCACGCCTCGAAGTTTTCCGTTCTAATTTGTTTGCTATATTTGTGACCCTTGTTTACACTCAAATTCCCCAACAATCCAAAAGTATAATTGACAAAGATGGCAAATGTTAAGGAATTGATGGACAACATTCAAAAGTTGGACAAATTCGAAGGTGTTGATTTTCGAAGGTGGCAGAGGAAGATGCATTTCTTCTTGACTACAGTTGGGGTGGATTATGTTCTTGCTACTCCGAAACCAGAGGAAAAGGAGGAGGAAACAATGGATGAAGTGAGGAAACGTAACAAGTGGGAAAACGACAATTACATTTGTTGTGGTCATATTCTCAACGGTATGTCTGATGAACTCTTTGATATATCTATCAGTTTATTGATTCTGCTAAGTCTCTATGGGATGATTTAGAGGCTAAATATATGGCTGAAGATGCTTCTAGCAAAAAGTTTCTTGTTAGTAAATTTAATAATTATAAAATTATTGATAGTAGGCCTATTATGGAGCAATTTCATGAGATACAAAGAATTTTAGGAAGTCTTAGACAACATAACATAGTTCTTGATGAGACCTTTGTAGTGTCATCTATAATAGACAAGTTACCTTTTTCTTGGAAAGACTTTAAAAGTGGTTTAAAGCATAGGAAGGATGATGTTAACCTTGAAGGTTTGGCTTCTCACATCCGGATTGAGGAAGAAATCCGGGTGCAAGAGGGAAATAAGGATGGAAATCCTAGATCTACTACGGTAAATGTAGTGGAGGATGCCAAACAAAATGTGAGAAAAAGGGGTAATGACTCAAACAAAAATAAAGGCAAGAAGCCTAAGTTAAGCGGTGATGGTTCAAAGTCACGTGCTTGTTGGGTTTGTGGAAAACCCGGTCACTTCAAGAAAGATTGCACAATCTTGAAGAAAAGGATGAGCAAGAAGGCTCAAGATGGGAATGACAATGCTAGCCAATCCCAAGACAAACAAGGTAAATCTTGTGCACAAATTTCATTTAATTCATTTATGAATTATATGTGTATGATTTCTGAAATCAATAGTGTACAGGCTGATTGTTCGTGGTATATCGATTCGGGAGCATCGAGGCATGTGTGCAATGATAAATCATTGTTCAAGACCTTCTTGGAGGTTGATGATGGAGAAATTCTATATATGGGAAATGACTCTACAGCTAAGGTGCTTGGCAAAGGACAAGTGGAGCTAGTCTTTAGTTCGGGAAAATCTCTTATTTTAAGAGATGTGTTGTATTCTCCCGAACTTAGGAGGAATCTTGTATCCGGTGCGATCTTGAATCGATTAGGTTTTAAGATGGTGTTTGAGTCAGATAAATTTATTTTGTCTAAA